GGCCGGGGGGTAGCACAAGCCCTCACCTCATCGTCTCCCTTATAAGGGCTGGAACCCTTGCCCCCTGCGATGCTGATACCCAGGCCCCCCGTCTGCCGCACGATGGTGAGCGTCAGCTGGAAACAGAAGCAGACACGGGGGTGTCCAGGTCTGTCCAGCAGCGGATGCGAGAGAAGCTGATCCCTCTGGCAGCCAGGGCCCCACAGCCACTTCCAGCCCAGCCCTGGAGTTGGCCGGCCAGGGCCTGGTGAGGGCAGGATGAGGCCTGAAGCGGGCAGCCAGGGCCCAGGAGCCCAGGCTAGAGGGCTCGCTCGCCCCTGGCATGGAGACCAGAAACCAAGCTTGGGGTGTGGGGGCCGGCACCACGTCTGCAGATGGGCTGCCCGAGGATGTGCCCAGGGTGGCCCCAAAGGGGCAACAGGCCAGTCTGCCCAGCACCCTGGCACCCTCCCAGGAGAGGCCGTACAAGCAGAGGGAGGGAGGCGCGTGAGCCAAGCAGCCCAGAGGCCAGCGAGAGTGGCAGGCGGTACAGACCTCCTCTTCCTCAATGCGGGCAGGCTCTATCAGCAGGTTATTGGCCTGGTCAAACGACACCCCCTGTTAGGACAGGACCAGCGAGGCATGCAGGTTAGTGCCACCACCTCTGGCCCGCCACCGCCCAGCCCGGCCGTGAGGCAGAGAAGAGAGAGCACACCAAGCCCCACAGCCCCAGCGCCCGCCCACCAGCACCGCCCACACCCGCAGCAGGTGAGCCCTGTGTCCTGTCGGCAGGTGGGAGGCCCTACGGACCCTCCGGGAAGGGTGGGGGCCCCAGAGCGGGCCCGCTTGCTGAGAGACCCACCGCTCCCTCGGCCTTTCCAAGGTTAACCCGCGAGGGCTCCGCCTGGACTAAATACAGCTCTGCTGCGTGAGGAGCCCCAGGGTCTCCAACACGATGTCATCTCAGACCACCTCAGTGTAGGAACTCCTAAAGTACCAAAAAGGTAAGAGGCAGCTCTCCGGGAGCCTGGGTAGGCTCTGGCTTCTGGAGTCAAGGCCCTGTAAGGCCCAGCAGACAACCAGACCCTCGCAATAGGGCCACAAAGCCAACGACGAGAGCTGGCCTCCGTGGGTGAGGTGGCCTGAGAGACGTGGTGGGGGGGGCACCGCAGCCACTGTCAGCAGCTTGCGGGGCACTGTCAGCTCCTCTGGCCCCGTGCTCCCTTCGCCAGCCGGCATCTCGGCAAACACTGACCCCACAGGGCTGCCGCTGAGAGGAGCAAATGAAGCAAATTTGATGTAGGGCGGCCTGTGCATGCACACGTGGAGGGCTGGCTGGGTCGCTGGTGGACTGTGTGCTGGCCACACGGCCAGACCTACGTCCAGCTCCCCACGCTCAGTGTCAGAAGGCAGCAGCAACACAGGGCCGGGACCCACCTTGACGGAGGGTGCACAGGCTGCGGCCTCCTCTTCCTCCTCCTCTTCCTCCTCAGCCTGAGGAACCCAGGGCGTGTGGGGGCCATTGTGCCAACCGCCAGGCCCGGCCTGGCCCTCGCCGTCCGGCCGCATCCCCTGCAGCAGGGCCACAACTGCCTCGGGCTGCGGCAGCTTCGAGACCTTGAAGTGCTTCTTGTAATGAGGCGTGTCCTTGCGGATGAGCCGCTGTCGCCCTCCCAGGAGGGGCCGGGGGGCCTCGAGTTGCTCCTCTTCATCCTCACTATCCCCCCGTGGCAACAGCGTGTCCTCCGCGAAGTGCACTGTGGGCTGGAAGCGTGTGTGAGGTGGGCAGCTTCCCCGCACACCCCCAGCCCCACCTCCTCAAGGGAACCTCCAGGGCCATGGCAGTGCAAAGACTGGGCGCCCCAGGAGGATCCAGGAAAGTCCTACAAGCAGCGACGGGTACCAGACAGGCTTTTGGGAACTCTCTGCTGGCCACAGGTGGGGACACACAGAAGACCGCAGACCAGGGCCTGTCCAGAGACCAGAAGCCCTGTGGCGCCGGGCAGACACCCTGCCATGACCTTCTGGCAGCCTGATACTTGGAAGCACCCACTAGGCCTGGGGACTACGTCTTTTCTGGGGTGGTACAGTCAGGAAACAGACTGCTGAGTGGCAACAGTGAGGCGGGCGCTACGGTATGGGACTGACCCCCACTCGCCTGGAGAAGCCCCTGCCCCAGGCCGAGCTCTGCTGAGGGGAGAGCCCACCCGTGTGTATCCCATTTCCCAGCCGCCACTAGCAAGGAACAGCAGCTGTCCATGCCACAATGAGCCCCAAGCGGTACAGCCATCTTTGAGGGAGGTGGACAGCCACCCATCCCCCACCAGCAGGGCCCTCCGAACCTCCAGGCCCAGCCCCCAGTGTCTCCCGGCCTGTCCCTACCTCCTCGTAGTTCTCCTCCATGTCCTCCTCTGGGCTGGCTGCCGTGGCCTCCAGCTGGTCCAGGTCCTCCGCCTCAGCCAGCGGGCCCTCAGGCTCCCGCTCAGAGCCGGTGCTGACGGATGGGTGTGAGGCTTCGCTCAGCCCAGACTCAGTGCTCAGCCGCTTCTCCTAAGACAAAGCAGCAGGGTTAGCCACAGCACCCACCCATCGCAGGCGATGTCTGCTCCATGGCAGGCGGCCCCCAACTGGGGTGCCCCCGTCCCGGCCCTCCCACGCTTAGCCCACACTCTGACCCCTCACCTGCCCATGGAACACCCAAGCCGCTCATACTCCTTCTGCCCACTCTACTGACCACACTCACCACCCATGTCACCTCCCCCCAGCCTGCTCCAGCCCTGTCTCCGCCAACCCTCGCAGACCTGCACCCAGCACGGGCCGGCCGCAGTGCCCCTGCCCACGTCCCCACAGGCACCTCTTCTGAGGGCGAGCGTGACCTGGGGCCCAGCTTGCAGGGGGTGACCTCGCTCCGGCGCTCTTCGATCCCCCTTTTCATCACCTTGAGCTCGCTGGGGTGAGGCGTGGCACGGCGCTGCAGGCCCTGCAAGGGTGACGGGGTGAGGAGCAGCGCAGAGATCAGGTGTGGTGGCGGACGCACCCTGCCCAGGGTCCCCATGCCCCCATACCCGCGTCTCGGAAGCGGCCTCCTCGGCATCCTCGTCGCCCGCGGGTGCCTCCAGGAACTGGATGACGCTGACGCGGCTCAGCGGGGTGTCGCTCCAGTTCTCAGAGGGGCTGCTCCGCTGCGCTGGATCCTCTGTGGGAGGCCGGAGTCAGCCGCCGCGCCCCCGCCGAGGCCCCGCCCGCCCTGGACGCTGGCACCTACCGAGAGTGGGTGAGGGCTGCTGGGGCAGCAAATAGCACGTGAGCACCTTCTCGCCCGTCTGCACGTCATCCTCCGTCTGGAAGCGCAGCATGGGCTGTGCCTGGTTCTCCGCCAGCCACAGGGCCTTGAGGTTGAGGTGGGTGAGCGCGAACGGCAGACTCTGCAGCCTGCGGCAGGCGGGCACTGTCAGCGGGGGTGGGCGTGGCCAGCGGGGGCGGGCAGGGCTGAGGAGGGGTGTGGGCGTGGTCAGCGGGGGCGGGCAGGGCAGAGAGATGTGGGCGTGGTCAGCAGGGTGGGCAGGGCTGAGGGGTGTGGGCGTGGCCAGCGGGGATGGGCAGGGCTGAGAGATGTGGGCGTGGTCAGCAGGGTGGGCAGGGGTGTGGGCGTGGCCAGCGGGCAGGGCTGAGGGGTTGTGGGCGTGGCCAGCGGGGGCGGGCAGGGCTGAGGAGGGGTGTGGGCGTGGTCAGCAGGGATGGGCAGGGCTGAGGAGGGGTGTGGGCGTGGTCAGCAGGGTGGGCAGGGCTGAGGGGTGGGCGTGGTCAGCGGGGATGGGCAGGGCCCAGGAGGGGTATGTGGGCGTGGCCAGTGGGCGTGGCCAGGGCCAATGAGAGGTGTGTGGGCTTGGTCATCGCGGGTGGGGAGGGGCGGGTGGGGTGCGTCAGCAGTGCTCACCGGTTCCCAGCCACATCCAGCACATGCAGCTCGGCCGTGTGGGCGAGCTCAGGAGGCAGGACGGCCAAGCGGTTGTCCCTCAACGAGAGCACGCTGAGAGCCGCACAGCCGCCGATCTCGGGTGGCAGCCCCTCCAGGCGGTTCCGGTCCGCGTTGAGGTTTGTCAGCTTGGTCAGCTTCCCCAGGGATCGCGGCAGGGCCTGGTTGGGAGGAGGCAGGTGACAGCCCCTTCGCCCCCGCCCCGACAGCTGCCCCCACCTCTGCCCACTACCAACACGCCGAGCCAGGTGCAGCAAGGACAGCGGCCATCATCCCTGCGTCTAGGCGCCCCGGCCTGAGCACCTGAGGCCACGCCCACTGTCCCACTCTCCTTGCCTACACCCAGAAGCCATCTGTGCCCGGTGGGCTCTGCTCTGCCTGGCCCTGCTCTGCAGCACCCTGCCTGCCTGGGGACACCCCTCCTGGGGCCCTGAAGGGCAGGCTGCGCTTCCCCTCTGCTCCCAGGTGGATCCCCATCCCCACCCTGGCGTCAGGCATCACCATTACACCCTGTAACAGAAACTTCTCCCTTCTTCCACTCTCCTGGCCTGAGGGATTCCTTGGAGGAGCAGATGACCTCCAGCTTTCTAGCTCATCCTCTTGAAACGCAGGTCGGTTTCCTGTCCCTGCCTCACCACTGACCCGCCTCTGGTGCCCTATCACACGACGGAAAAAAATACAGCCCAAGATCTTACCCTAGCCTCCGAGAGCTCCTGCTTCCCCCTCTGACCACCCGTCCCAGCCGCATCTCTTGCCTAGTAGACTCTCCCCTGACAGAGAATCCTTAGCACCACACAGCCTCTATGAGACAGGCCACCCACACCCACACCTGCACGCACACGTGTCTATGCACACAGGTACGCCCAACTCACACCTGCATACACACATCCACACACACCACCACCACCCACACACACATACGTACACAGTCATCTACACGTATCCGCACGTACACAGCACCTACATCCGCACACACATCTGCACACGGGCATTCACCAACACCTGCACACACCCCACCTACACCTAGACACAGACATCTGCATACAGTCATCTACAGCTGCACACACACACCCCACCTATACTGATGCACAGCTGCACAATCACCTACCCCACGTGTACCTGTCTGCACACACACACAGCTCTCACCTACGCCTGGGCATACACCCATACCCACACACAGCCACCTACACAACACGTCTGCACACAACCACCTACGCCTGCAGTCACCTACACCTGCACACATACGTGGCTGCACACACCTAACCTGCACACATACGTGGCTGCACACACCTAACCTGCACACATACGTGGCTGCACACACCTAACCTGCACACATACGTGGCTGCACACACCTACACCTGCACACATGCAGTCACACCTCCATGCACGCATATCTGCACACACACCTACACACACTGCTGCTTACACCTGCATACTCATCTGCACACACTATCACACTTGCACACACACATCTGTACACACACCACTCACAACTGCACACGCACATCCGCATGCATACGACTGCCACCTACATGGACATATACATCTGTACACACATATCTGTCGCCTATACCCTCGTGCGTGTCCAAACACATGCCACCTACACACCCATCTGCATGTGGTCACCTACACCCGCACACACGCTGTCACACCTGCACGCATACGTGTCTGCACACATACAACTGCCACCTACACCGCACACACGCGTCTGTGTGTACACCAGCTATACTTAGACATACACATCTGTACACATACAACCATCAGCTACATCTTCACACGTGTCCGTACAGACGTATCACCTACACGCGCCTGTACACATATACACCGTGTACACCTATGTGCACCTGCGCACATGCGTCCACATACACACTACCACGTACACTCGCACACACATGCACGCACCATACACACCTGTATGCACACGTCTGCACACACACCTGCACATGTGCCGGCAAGCACAGGAATCTATACACACGTACAGCCGGATGTACGTACCTACGTGCGCACGTACACCCATGCATATACTTACACATGCTTGCATGCACATACCTGCACAATCGTGCTTACGTGCACATTTACACCCACACGCCTCTGCACGCACGTGTAGCTGTCCACACACGTTTATGTCCCCACACGCACGTATACACCCAATGTGTTCTGACACTCACGCACGTACATACGTCTGTACTTACAAGCCTGAGTGCGCACATACCACCAACGCGCATCTACACCTACACGCACAGGCCTACGCGCATGCACACTCATACACAAACGCTCGCATACACATGCCTGCACATGCTTCCACACGCACAAGCATGCTTATCACCAGCACACAGCTGCGTGCACACACACGCACCACCAGCAGACGTCACTCGGCTCCCTCCAGCTCTGGCCCTCCTGCCCTGTTCCAGCGCTTGCTCACTCATGCCCAAGTCCCCCACCCCCTCTGACCCGGGTGCCCCAGGGCTGGGCCCTACCGTCAGGAGGTTCTCAGTCAGGATCAGCTCAGACAGGTTCTCGCAGTCCCCGATGGCCTCGGTCATCTCACACAGGCGGTTCTGGTCCACCTTCAGGATGGACAGCTGTTTCAGCTGGCCTGGTGGTGGAGAGACCCAGCACGGGGTGAGTGTGTGGAGGCCGGGCATGCTCCTGACTGCCTGAGCCAGCCGTGAGGCAATGCCTTGGCTGCTGCTGCTGTCCCAGCCTTGGCCTGCTCTCCCCTCCCGAGGCCATCTCTTGCCCAGGTGAGATCAGGAACTTCCTCCTCAGCATCCTCCTGTAGCCCCAGCTCCAACATCGGACACGCCCACCAAGATGTCCCCAGACCCAGCCAGGGCAGGCTCTGTGCCCACTGCCCTCATGACACCCACGTGCCCACATCCCCCAGCACCCATGCGTATCCTCTTGGTGCCCACCAATGCCATCAGGCAACCGCTGCAGCAGGTTCTGGGACAGCAGCAGGTCCGTGAGCAGTGCCAGCCCACCCAGCTCCGCAGGTAGCTCCTCCAGCCGGTTCTCTGACACGTCCAGGCACACGAGGCGCCGCAGGTTCCCGAGCTCCTGAGGGTCAGGCACGGGAGGTCAGGACGCAACAGACACAGATGGGCAGGAGGACTCAGGGATCACAGCCACGACTCCACTCACCGGGGGTAGTGCTGACAGCTGGTTCCGGTCCAGCCACAGCTCTCGCAGGTTGGGCAGAGCCCCGAGAGTGTCGGGCTGCAAGGGCGGGTAGGGGGATGTGTGTGACACGGACAAGGCCCCGCCCCACCGGCACCGCCCCAACGGCCCCGGCCCCGCCCCGCACCAGCACTTCCAGATCATTGCCTCCAAGATCCAGCTGTTCCAGCTTGACCAGGAAGGAGAGGGACCTGTGGGGAAGCAGAGCGTGGCACGGTGTGGCTGGCAGCCCACGGCTCCGGGCCACGCGCCTGCCCGCCTGGTGGTGGAGGGCCAGGGCACTTACGCAGGCAGGGACTTGAGCAGGTTCTCCCGGAGCTCCAGGGTCACCAGGTTGGCAAGGCTGAAAGAGACAGGAACGGGCACCAGGCAGTGAGGGACAAGGTGCTGAAACAGGGTGCAGAAGGGTGCAAGAACAGGTGTGGTGGCGGGTGCCCAGGCGGGGGAGAGCACTCACTTGCCCACATCCCCCGGCAGCGCCTGCAGGGACACGTCGTTCAGGGCCAGGTGGGCCAGGCTGCGCAGCTGAGTGAAGCCGTCAGGGAGCCTGGGCAGAAAGACAGAGTGCCGCCTCAGACGCTCAGACCAGGGCTACAGACCCCCAGCTGTGAGATCATCTGCTCCCCACCTGGACAGAGGATTCCCGCTGAAGTCAGCAATCTCCAAGGCTTTACAGAACTTGATGCTTTCAGGGATCTCGGGGATGTCTGTGACAAGAAAGGAGTCAGCTGAAAAGATGCCCCAGCCTCCCAGAACTCCACGCCCCCCAGCCCCAGGGGCTTCGCACCGTTCCGAGACACGTCCAGCTCCACCAGCTGCATGAAATTGGCCACCTCGGGCGGCAGGCGCTGGATCTCGTTGTCGCTGAGGCCCAGCTTACGCAGATTTAGCAGGCGGAAGAAAGGCTGTGGGCAGGGGTGTGATCAGCCAGACGGCCCCCCAGCAGAGGGCCCTCCAAGGCAGAGACAAGCACCTGGACACAGCCCTGTGGGTCATGGGTGCCCCAGGCTCAGCCATCTCTGCCTCCTCCAGGCCCCGCAGGAGTGTGGGGGCCCATCCACAACACCCCAAGCTACAGCAGTGAGGACAGCAAAGCCAGAAAAACGTGCACAAGCATCCTGCAAAACAGCAGACTCTGAGCCCCCTGCGACCTTGGGGCCGCCTCAGATGGGTGCCCGGGACCACCGTCTCACCACGCACCTGGCCTCACACGTCCAGATCTCAGCTGAAGAACCGCTTTCTTGTGACTGAACCCATCTCCCCTTCCCATCCTGCTGTCTTACCACAGGGCTCCACCCCCCATCGCCTCTGCCACCAGGAGGTGAGCCCCCTGGGGGGCCCGTGGTGGTTTCCTGGGCCTTTAACAGGAACTTGGCGGCTAGACACCAGGCAAGAAAGTAATAAGGACAGCACAGCACCCTAGACATGAGAGATGCTGTATGCAGTTTCTGGGGACCGTGGGGCAGCGCCATCAACTCTGGAGCCCCGCCTTCTGTGACACACGGGCCCCCAGGCACCAAGCGCTCAGAACCCGGTCTCCGGAAAGGAAATCCTTTTACGATCTCCTTTCCTGATGGTCCTTTCTGTTGCATCCTGAGAAAAAGGACACGCTGCCGTGAAGAAACAAGGGTAGTGCGTGAAGAGTTGCGGGGGAGCAGACCTCCTGGGCGGGCACCGCAGGCCGAGGACAGCACGTGGAGGGCAGCCGGCGCCCACGTTCCGGAGCGCCAAGCGCACTAGCACCTATCAACCAGCCCGATCCGTCCCGTTGCCGCCCCCGCAGGGTCACTCGGTCTCCTACTTTAGGCCCGGTGCCACCCAGGCAGGCACCTGAAGACCGCTGCCACCTGGTACCAGCCCAGGCGGCTGAGCCAGCCAGGAGGGTGGGGCCGGGCGAGCGCGGCTCCGGCCAGTAGGAACCAGCAGGGCCGGCTGGGAGGCTTCGCTGCCCCACCCCGACGGGCGCCGCGACTCTTCACCAGCCGGCGACCCACCGACGCCGAGCAGGTGCCGCCGCTCACCTTGGGCAGCTCGCGCAGCTGGTTGGCGTCCAGGAGCAGCTCCTCCAGGCTGCGGCTGTAGCGGTAGATCTCCTCCGGCACGGCCTGCAGTGAGCAGTGCCGCCGGTCCACCGACTCCACGTGCCGGTTGCAGCGCCACAGAGGGATGCACTTGAGCATGGTGCGGGCAGGCGGGCGCGGGCTCGGGCCGGGGGGCGGGGCGC